CTCTCTCTCTCTCTCTCTCTCTCTCTCTCTCTCTCTCTCTCTCTCTCTCTCTCCCTGTGTCTCTCTCATTTCCCTATATCTATCTACTTTTTCACAAATAGATTTATATGGCCCCGAAGCTCAGAGAAAATATCATCCTTGTGCACCAGTAGCCGGACCAAAAATGCGAGCAACGTGAAGAGCATGGCGAACCACAGAGTGACGAAGAGCCTCTGTCGCGTCGCGTCGTTGCAGATGGGTTGCGTACAAGGTGGACCCCTCGCGTCATCGATCGGCCTCGCCATCTCCATCGTCATTGTCCATCGCGGCGGCAGGTTCTCCTTCGATTCCACCATCTCCATCGTTGGCGACATCATCCGCAGGTGGTCCCTCATTGTCGTCGTCTTCGTTATCATCATCCGGTCTCCGTCGCAACAGTTCGTCGTCGACCGGGATGCCCACATCAATAATGATGTTATGTAGAATGCAACAAGCAAAAAACCGATAACAAATATTCTCTATGTTTGCGATATGCTTACGCTCAAAGCATCTCCACACTCCTTTCAACCTGCCGAAACACCTTTCAATCACGTTGCGCAGGGCAAAAAACTCGTTGTCATAGGATATCTCCTCCGCAGTCCGGTCAGTGCCAACAAACGGCGTCATCAACCACGATAGGATTGGATACCTAGCATCTCCCATCAGATATCTCCCCACCACCACGCCATCCATCAACACATTTGTCCTCCGCGTGAAAGGATCCCCCCCTTCCTCTCCACGCCAGTACATATCATACAGACGTATAACACGTGAATCATGAAATAAAACAGGTGCGCCGACGACAACATGCAGTATGCGCATGTTCTCATCGCACACAACCTGCGCTCGGATTGAGTACTGTCTGTTGCGATCGAAGTACGGCTCCACCTCCCCGCCACGTGGTTTTTCAATATAGATGTGTATACAGTCTATGGCCCCGAAACACCGGGGGAAGCCTTTCCCCTCGTAATAGTCGAGGGTCGCCTGCAAGCGAGCGCCTGTCGACCAAGACAAAACATGACCGTACTCTGCTATACTCTGCACAAATAGCTCTCGCGACGTCGTCCGTGCATCGTATGGCGATGTGTAACCCAATCTCGAAGTCGTTCCCGGATTGACGATAAAACCCGTCCGTTGCCCATCTGTACAGTGCGAAGGCCAACTTCAGAGACATTGGCAAAGCATCTCTCCAGCGAGTATCCCTCCTTTGAATCCTTGGACGAATTCGTTCCAGAATTTCGTCGAATATGGGACGTGTCAGCCGTGTGTATTCCCTGAATTTTTTTTCGTATCCCACTCTCGTCATGTTCAACTCCTCCCACTCGCTCCCGCACCCACAGTCGTCGTCGTCGACCAACGTGTGAGAGTCGACCGTCCGCTCACCCTGCGCCCTCATAAACTTCATAAGCAAGGAGCAAAAACACATTCCTCATGTTTTGCAGCGCGACAATGTTCGCCATGACATGGATGAACATGGCAGCGGAGATAACAGTGCAATGCTCCCTCATCCGCACCCACCGGATGACCGCAGCTAGTACCATACCAAGTTGGGCCGCAGTCAATTGATCCATAGCTTGCCCGACAATGGCAATTGTGGAACATGATCACCGCTTTCCACGAAGTCGATCAACTCCAAAAATGTGCGTGCCACGACAAACGCACCAGGTCCCCCGCCCTGCCACAACAACTTCCTGCCCGTGCACGTGCCACTTGTCAACTTGCTTCAAGTGCCACTCTCATAGATGGACACTACAACGATGCTACAACCATGCTACCTCTTACAAGCAAGATGATGGTGAAAAGATTACCCGTGGAGAACATAGCAAGACTTGCGTTGGGGGAGAGGGACCGTCGTGGAGAAACTTCCCTCCAAAACGCGTATGGGGGACTTGACGGTCGGGGAACATTTTTGGCACTACGAAGGGCCGATGCCCGTCTCTGTGCATGCCACACAAACCCCCCTGGGCCCACAAAGGGGGACACACCACCTAACCAGTCACACAGTTCGCAGGGCCGCACAAGACACCACGCGGTGTCCGAACGGAGAGCACGAAACCCGACCCCGCACACCCGCCCACAACAATCCGCCGCTTTCCTAAAAAAAACACCTCAAACACCGGGCAAGTAGGATTCCATTTTACTTGTACGTCCGTTGCGGACCGGCTCTGCTGAAAGTGATTCTTTTGGGTTCTTACGAAAAACGGTAGAAGAAGAATCATGCCCTTAGTAACATAGACACAGACTTAAAGGTACTGTTGCCATCGTATGATCCAGGTCAGACAAGGTTGCCTAGGGCATTCGTTCCACATTGAAAAAAAATGGCAGGTGCCCAGTCCCGCGTGGGGAGGGCTTCCATAGAGCGGATGGCTTGGGCTACGTAGCCTCTCCCTGTGTGTTTGAACAAAGCTTCTGGGATGCGGCCATGTAGAACCCATGTCTCATCCCAATTCAGCAGAGAACCAACGAATCGCTGCTAATGTTTCTCCCACCAACGCCAAATACGTTTGGATGCTGGGCAGGCCCAGAACAGGTGCTGCAACGTCTCTTCCTCATGTTTTCCATAGCGCAGTCATTTGGTTTCGATGTTCATTCCTCCTTCGAATAGCCTCACTGAGTAGGGGACTACGACATGCGACATGAGCCATATGAGCCCTGCTAACTTTTGTGATGGCAGGGCTGGGAGCTGCGCCCAAAGTGTTCTCATTTCTCCTTCTGTGATGCTATGAGAATCCAGGGTGCCTGATTTGTTTAAGCGTTCAACCGCGATCTTTGAAAGTGGTTCCCCTTTTGCTTGAAGAAGCCTTCCCAGCCCTGTCGTGTATTGATATAGGTACTTTCTGCGGCCTTGTCCTAGTTCCTAATAACCTTCGGGTCGATCCTCAACCTCCTCAATGGACTCGGAGTTCCCTTGGCTATAATATCGTAGGTTGAGTGGCCATTCCTGGTGTTGGTGTGGACGCAGATCTGCTGCAGGTCGCAGGTGGAGTGTAGGGCGATCATGTCTTGGGGCTGGAGTCTCTCGAGATACCTTGTACTTTCTGCTGTCTTCCAAGTCTGTGCTCGTCACGTATTGTTGTCCAACTGTTCCTGGACTTGGATCACTTTTTGCCTTCCCGTTCCTGCGATGGGGGAATACCACTTCCCCTGCATTGGGTCGTCTGACTCAGAGCACAACAAGTCCCGCCAGTGGGGCGGGATCGTTGAGATCAGGTTGTACCTCCTTTCTGCCACCAACTTAAGTCTTCCCAGCTTGTGTTTGATGTCCTCTTCTGTGGATCATTCTTGTGTTTTTTCATTTCACAGATCTTGTACACGAATTAGGCCCTTCTCTGTCGATCGTTTTCCGAAGTTGCCCGGGATGGCTGTAGCTGAGAAGAGAGACCATTGGCTATTAAAAATTTGCAGATTGTCGAAAAGGGGCTGCATCAGAACCTCTTCTCTCGTGGTCGGCTCTTTGGTGCAAGATGGGATAAGGGTCCTCCATATTGTCCAACAGGCCCCTGCCAACTGTGATCGTGGCTGCCTATGCAAAAAGGAAGGCATAAAAACAACGGTCCAAACATCTTATTTGTGTGTCAGTGAAAATTCTTGTTGCAGGAGATATTCCAAGATGGGGACCCATGTCCTTCTTTCCGTCTGCGTCGTCGCTTTGACGAGCCACTTAGTGAGTAATGCAAGGTTTTGTTTTTAACGATGTTTTCGTTAAAAATGAACTGTTTTGTAAAAAGTGAGCATAATGAAATTAATAAAGTAACCGAAAAAAAGGTAAATTGTAGAACAAAATAAGAGGATTTTAATATTTCGGCACAATGTAAACCTTGAGCGGAGAAGTGTCGAAACAATTAGAATATAAACGAAAAGAATGACATCATATGTGAAGGAAAGAATAGCGAAATTTGTAAAACCCTCTACAGAAAGTTAACAAATTCAAACAAAGCGCAGTGGAAGGAAAATTTAATGCAGCTCTCTAAAGTCCAAGACCTTAAGTTGTTTCAAACTATAACAACACCCTTCATATGGAGACCGTGAAAGGAAAATTTAATGCAAAAGTCCAATTATATTAAAAGCAAAACTGTGCCACTTACATCAGCTCAATGGTGCATCTATGAACTCTTAAAATTACACATTGTCAAAATCTTCGTCAAAGTCCTTAGGCTATAATTGAAATCGACTTGACTACTAGGCATATAACACTTGAAAACGATATTCTAAGGTTATCGACTTGAATCAGATATAGTACGTAATGAACATATTAATACGATCTGCGTGATAAATTTAACGCTCTCCTCGTGTAAATTGTCAAATCTTCTACAGTGTTCGTCTCATTGTGACCATCGAATGTGGGTTCCTTGTACTCTACGTAAGTTTCTATGAATTCATACTTGCGCAGCAGAAGACTTCGTACATATGTAATCGCTGTGTCCACGAGCCCATCCACGAGTGCTTTGAGCAACGGTTGGTCCATGATCCTCCTTGGAAATGCTTCCCGTCTTCATCCGTCGATGTCATGTGCATTGAATATGTTTGCACTTGTAGAATAATCGTTATGAATAAGAAAAGAAAGTTTGCAGCATTTGGTCATCAGCTTGAAGTCGTTGTGGTAGAACTTCACTGCTGAATAGTACAATTCTGAGTACGGTGCAAACGCTTATCGCGGATATTCTCTTGTTCTACAACACCTACGACCACAAATATACAAACATTGTCGAGGATAATGCTCCCAGCAATCCGGTGCGACATCCACACCTCTGACACTGAGTACTGCATCATCGAAAACCACTTCAGGTGTGAAAAAGATAGACCCCATATCATGCCATACATTTCTGTCTCACACCATATTGCTTGGCGGTCATCCAGTCGTTGAATGAAGCATTCTGCAACACATGAAATACAGAAGCTCAATGACAACTAAATGATACAGCAATACGCTCAAATGAAATATGATTACCTCTTCTCAACGACGTACTTAAAGTTTATTGATCTTCATCATCGGGAAGTAAAAGGCAAGCCAATGCAATATAGTTTAACTATATATGAATGGAAGTTCAATGACAAGTAAATGGTACACCAACACGCACGAAATGAGGTCTTCTCAGTGACTTATCCTACGGGTCTTCATCATCGGGAAGTGAAAGACATGTCAAGGCTTTCTCTCTGACTGATTTGGGAATGTGCACTCCATTTTTCAAATGTAACATCCTTGATGACCAGCTCCACAAAACACAGTCCACGTGCTGCCACTGTTGTGCTGTTGTGCTGTCTTTCTTCCATATCTTCTTCCATGCATTTGCATATTGCAGAGAAAGATGTTTGACGACAGGTTGTGGCACCCAATATTCAATAAAAACATGATTGAAAGCAGGCGACTTCCTATCGTTGTCAATATCAGAAATGACTCTACCCATCCACACGGGAACTCCCTGATCGATATCATCTTGCGAAGGACGCAAGAGAACGAGTTGACCCTTTTCGACATCCACAACCGGGTCGAGCTCTGCTTTTGGACGCTCATTGGCTGACCCAACGAACAACGACTCTTCGAAGAGGAAGGCAATATCAATATCCTCAGCATCGTCCTTCGTAATTCTGTCCTGCGAGGGCCAAAAGCCAGCCTTAAGTGATGTTTTCGCAAAGCCAGACCCATAATTTTGCTCGATTGTGTCCACGAAATTTTTCCAGTGAGAAAGAGCACTCTCATTTGAGAAGCTAACCTCATCTTTCATTCCCAACCACTCGTGCTGCTTGTTTTCCAACCACTCAACAAACGTCTTCACGCCTTCAATTCCTTATTTGAAATTCGAATTCTTATCCTTAGTGGGCTGACTACGTGATGTTTCTTTAACAGCTCGAATAGGTGATGGGATAACAGGTGAAGGCTCGAATGGCCATTCGGGTCCAGCATATGCTTTATTTTCATCTCGTTTAAAGCAATAGACCGGAGAAGTGCAATACTCTTTCCACCGGAACACAAGATTGTCATCCTCCATATAAAACCTAAATAAATGTGGCTTAGTATGACCGGTCAGTCTGTTGACCAGGAAGGGCTTAACAGCTCCCCGCCAGTCAACAATTTCGTCCATGAATGTGCACAAAGGACGCTCTTTTTGGGAACTGGGAACGAGTTTGAAGAGGTCGAGCATGGTATAAGGATCGCGCATTTTCAGTTTGCGAGAGAAATGACTGAAAGTGGCATCAACGTCCGTATGTGTATGTCCTACCAACATAAAACCGAATTCAACTTCTTTGAAGAAGCCAATTTCACCAAAGCTGCGGCCACAGAGAAAACGTATTTGTTTTTGTTTTCTCCCCAACAGTTGTCAACTTGTATCCTCAATTTAGGAGGTAAGTCGCTTGTCGCCTGTATGTCACGCAAAACTTTCATAATGGATGACACCACAACATTGGAATCATGTGGATAGCAAGGGTACCATGTGTGAACATGGCCAGACGGTGAACGACCGTGCGCGATAATAGTTGTTAAATGTGTTTTCATCATCGGAATATTCGCGAATGCCTTCGACTTGTTTTCTCCGCCAAAGTGTGGAATACTTGTCTTGCTTTGGTCCATACCGTCAATAATGATGCATAAACTGTTGGAATCTGGTCTCCTCGACTCATCATTCCACACCTCATAAGCAACACGATGTTGGAGATGCAAGTCCAAGTGTTTTTCACGTTCCGAAACAAAATACTCACGCACACGTACGAACTTCGCAAAATTGATAGATTCTTTGAACTCAACACACTTCTCGCATTTTGCAAAGTTTCTTCATGAAATTTCACATGTCAGAAGTGTGTTCTTCTTCTTGGAGAGAAACAGAAGGGACACCCATGTTAACAACTTGTAAATGTCAACCTTGTTATAGCAAGCAGGCAATCTCAAAACCACTCGTGATTCCCCATCTTTGATTCTCATGTCATTGGGCATGGAATCTCCATTATCGCGCACAAAGGAGCTTAGTTTTTCGTACATCATCGCATATGTTGCAGATGTGCGTCTGAGTCCAATGTTGCCATGCTCCGGCATAATGTAACCTTTTGACAAAGTCATCCTCTTTTTCAAAAATGTATTCCTGCACACACCAAGTGTGAAACACCATGCACTAATGCACACCTTTCTTTTTTCTACAATAGGTTGTACAATCTTTTTCTCATCTTCCACGAAGGTGAACCTCTTTAACGTTTCAACCCACCATGCATCTCTACTTTTGTGATCCTTAGAGTATTATGCACTCCGGACAGCTTTGACGTTTACAACAAACTTGTCCACGCACACTCGACGGTGTTTTTTTGGTGAGCTTTCTGTGAACTGTTTGCAGAATCTTCTTTGACTGCGACATTCAGATACGGAAAGTATAAGGACGCTTCTCAGACGACAAACGTTTTGGAAAAATGTCATCAAAATCAGAGACGACATCAGAATTTTCCATATCGTTGCGGCAGTAAAGATCAGTGGCATCACTATCGCAAGTTTGTGGATAATCAATTTTGTCTGGAGAACTGTCGGCATCATATGACATCGAAGAACCTGATTCCGAACCATCTTCATCACTCTCGTCAAACAGAAGGCCTGTGCACTTGAAATCTCGTAGCGAACTTCTCGGCACGCACATGATACGATCTACATCGGATGTGTTCTTGTCACCGGAGCAGGCCCTACCCTGACCTTCCGAACCTTCTACATCAGAGGTTTTCACTGGCCCGCCCAAGGCTGGAGATGCACTTTTGCATGTGGTTTCTTCACATGCAGCCATCCGGGACCTTTTATGATCAGGAGATTCTGGAGTTATTTGAACGTATTGTGAAAACATTGGCAGGTCCGGCGGAGGAAATTCATCATTAGGCAGTATATTAGATGCCACACAGTCCATGCTTTCCAAAGTTGTGCTGGCAGCTTGTCGTGGTGCGTGCCCACCACAAGCCATTTAAAACGTTTCTGCGATGACAAAACAGTGGACCACTGGCACAAAACATGTATATCAGTAACAAATCCACAACTAGATGGATCACATGCGGTATATATAGAGTGCAACACATGTGGTATAGCGCGGCCACTGCTAGCCACACACAGCTGATGTAAAAGATCAGCCCCGTGAAGGCGGAAAAAAAAAACACAGTCTGCAACAGAAGCGATGCACGAGAGACATGGCGACCGACTCGAACACGTCGACCGACTGTGTGTTGAATACGACGACGGATGTCGTGTTGAACAGTCGCCGGCTGTCGTGTTGAACACGATGATTTGCCGCCGCGTTCGTGTTGAACACGACGACGCATCATCGCATTGCACAACACGACAGGCGCACGTGGTGACTGCCACCGTCATCGTGTTCAACACGACGGCGTGGTCATGTTCAACATCTCCGCGCTCGACCGTCGTTATGTCGCGCTCGATACCCGTCTCTGCACGACAGCCACCATGGTCGTGTCGAAGACGACGATGAGCGACCGTGGTCGTGTTGAACACGACGGTGCTTTCTAGGTGAACATGTCTGCGCTCGACCGTCATCGTGTTGAACACGATCACCGGCACGACGGCGAGCCACCGCGGTCGAGTTCAACACTACGACAGTGACCGTCATCGTGTCGAACACGACCGTCATCGTATTGAACACGACTGCGTGGTCGTGGCGAGCCACCGTGGTCGTGTTCAACACGATGACAGCGACCGTCATCGTGTTGAACACGACGGTGGGGTCGTGTTCAACACGTGGTGAACATGTCCATGCTCGTCCGTCATCGTGTTGAACACAACGGTCGTCGTGTCGGAGTCGATGATGGACGCCTCTGTGAACTGTCGGAGAAATTTTGTTGCCGTCCTGAAAAACCACAAATGACGAAAGGGAGGGGGGGGG